TTTTTTTTTTTTTCATTTGAAGTACTTGTTGATAGATATGTAGTTATCTCCATTCTTTATTTAAACTCTTGATATCTATATTTTTCTTTTTCTTAGAGAAGTCCCTCCAACATTTCCTGTAATACTGGCTCAGTGGTGATGAGCTCCTTTAGCTTTTTCTTCTCTGGGAAGCTCTTTATCTGTTCTTCGATTCTAAATGATAATTTTGCTGGGTAATCTTGGTCGTAGGTCCTGGGTGTTCATTACTTTGAATATTTTGTGCCAAGCCCTTCTGGCTTGTAAAGTTTCGGTCGAGAAATTGGCTGACAGTCTTATGGACATGCCCTTGTATGTAACTGATTGATTTTCTCTTGCTGCTTTTAAGATTCTCTCTTTGAATTCAGCCTTTGGTATTTTAATTATGATGCATGTCTTGGTGTAAGCCTCTTTGGGACTCTGAACTTCCTGGGGTTATATGTCTGTTTCCTTCATCAGGTTAGGGAAGTTTTCCGTCATTATTTCTTCAAATAGGTTTTTAGTTCCTTGCTTGCTCTCTTCTCCTTCTGGTACCTGTATGATGCAAATACTGTTACTCTTGATGTTGTTCCACAGGCTTCTTAAACTATCTTTATTGTTTTGGATTCTTTTTCTTGTTGCTGTTCTGACTGGGTGTCCTCTGCCACCCCAGCTTCTATGTGGCTGATTCAGTCCTCCGTTTCATCCACTCTGTTGATTCTCTCTATTGTACTCTTCATTTTGGATATTAAATTCTCCATTTCTGACTGGCTCCATATTATGTTTTCCGTCTCCATTTTTATGGTTTTTATCTTTTTGTTAAAGTTCTCACTGAGTTCATCTACTCATCCCCTAAGTTCCTGGAACATCCTTATAACCAATGTTTTGAACTCTGAATCTGATACATTGCTTATCTCCATTTTGGTGAATTCTTTTTCTGGAGCTTTGTTTTGTTCTTTCATGTGGGACACATTTCCTTGTCTCTCCATTTGGCTACCTCCTTGTGTCTGTTTTTATGTATTAGGTAGGGCTCCTAAGGCTCTCAGTCTTAGTTGAGTGACTTTATGTAGTAGATGTGCTGTGGGGCCCAGTGGCAGTCTTGGGAGGGGTCCAGTTGCAGGCCAAGTTCATCTGCAGCCTGTGTGTCTCTGGGGCCACCTGGTAAGAGTCATCAAACAATCCACATATGGCAGCCACTCGTGCTGGGTTTATAGATGCCTTGAAGGGCTAAGTCAGAAACCGAGGCTGGCTGCCACTAGTGCGGGACTTGGGGCTGCTCAGCAAGAGGTACAGGACATGCCAAGGTCAGATGCTGGTTCTTTGGGTTTTGTGAGCTTTTAAGAGATTTTGGGAAAGTCTACAGCAGGAACCAGGATAGCCTGTTTGTATGGAATAAATCACTGGAAGTGGCCTATGTGGACCCATATGTTGGGAGAAGCAGAGTCTCAAGGAATCCCCTAGATGGATTCAGGCTGGGTGTGGGGGTGCTCAACAAAGGAACAATGCCTTCTGCCTGCATCTCTGTCCAGGAGCAAGCTGCCCCTCCAGCTCTTGTCCTGAGGTTGGACTGCTCAGCACCTCTCCATGTGTCCCTGCTGGAACTCAGAGCAAGCAAGTCTCTCAGTGAGTGAGGCCAGGCGTGGGCCCTTAAAGAGGAGAATCTTCACTTCCCGCAGCCCGTCTCACTAAGCTGCAACCTTACTGGTTCTCACGTCCGGAGGTTGTGGTGACTTCTCTTCCCAGCACTGGAACCCTGGGCTGGGGAGCCCAGTATGTGGTGGGGACCCCTTGCTCCTCAGGTGGGGGAGGTGGCTCTGTTCCAAGATAGCCCTCCCAGTTTTCGATCGCCACACACAGTTGTGCGACAGAGCTGTTTCGTGTCTTCGCCCCTCCTACTGTTTTGAGGTGACCTGTTATTCGAGGTGATCTGGTTGTAGGGCTTCTATTCAGCCAGACCTCAAACAACTCCACGTACTGATTGCTCTCTAGTTTTGTTATAATTTTGGTGTGGTCTTTAGAGTGGGCGTGCCCTGCCTCTGCTTTCTACGCCATCTTGCGAGTCGTCGGTCCATTTTTAAATTGAGTAGTTTGTTTTCTTATTGAGTTTTGAGTGTTTTGTATACTTTGGATAACAGTCTTTATCAGATATGTCTTTTGCAAATATTTTTTCCTGGTCTGTGGCTTGTGTTCTTATTCTCTTAACGTTATCTTTTGCAGAACAGAAGTTTTTAATTTTAATGAAGTCCAGCTTATCAGTTTCTTTCTTGGATTGTGCCTTTGGTGTTGTGTCCAAAAAGTTATTGCCATACCCAAGGTCACCTAGGTTTTCTCCTGGGTTATCTTCTAAGAGTTTTATATTTTTGCATTTTACATTTATGACTGTAATTAATTTTTAGTTAATATTTGTGAAGGGTACAAGGTCTGTATCATTTTTTTTTTTTTTTTTTTGCATGAAGATGTTCAGTTCCAGCACCATTTGTTGAAAAGACTGTCTTTGCTTCATTGTATTGCTTTTGCTTTTTTGTGAAAGGTTACTTGACTACATTTATGTGGGTGTATTTTTAGGTCCTTTATTTTGTTCTGTTGATACGTTTGCCTGTACTTTCTTCAATACCACACTACCTTGATTACTGTAGCTTTACAATAAGCCTTGAAGTCAGGTAGTGTCAGTCTTCCAACTTTGTACTTCTTCAGTATTGTGTTGGCTATTCTGGGTCTTTTGTCTCTCTATATAAACTTTAGAATCATTTTGTCATTATCCACAAAATAACTTGCTGGGATTTTGATTGGAATTTCATTGAATCTAGAAATCAAGTTGGGAAAAACTGACATCTTGAAAATATTGTGTTTTCCTATCCATGAACATGGAATATCTCTTCATTTCAGTAGTTCTTCGTGAATTCATTCATCAAAGTTTTGTAGTTTTCTTCATGTAGATGTTGTACATATATTGTTATACCTAAGTATTTTGTATTTTTGAATGTTAATGGAAGTAGTATTGTGGTTTTAATTTCAAATTCCACTTGTTCATTACTATTATATAGAAAAGGGATTGACTTCTGTATATTAATCTTGTATTCTGCAACCTTGCTATAATAGTTTATTAGTTCCAGGAGTTTTTTTGTCTGTTCTTTCTTGTTTTTTCCTACATTGACAATCATGTCATTTGCAAACAAAGACAGTTTTATTTCTTCCTTCTCAGTTAGCATGCCTGTTTCCTTTTCTTTTCTCTTGCATTTACTAGGACTTCCAGTAAGATGTTGAAAAGCATTCATGAGGTGGGATATTCTTGCCTTGTTTCTGTTCTTAGTGGGAAAGCTTCCAAGTTTCTCACCATTAAGTATGTTAGCTGGGGATGTTTTTGTAGATATTCTTTATCAAGTTGAGGAAATCACTTCTCTTCCTAGTTTACTGAGAGTTTTTATCATGAATGGGTGTTGGATTTTATCAAATGCTTTTTCTGCAGCTTTTGATACGATCGCGTGATCGCTGGTTGATGTGATGGATTACATTACTTGATTTTCAAATGTTGGTCCAGCCTTTCATGATCGGAATAAGTACCACTTGGTCATGGTGTTTAATTCTTTTCATACATTGGTAGGTTTGGTTTGCCAAAATTTTGTTGAGGATTTTTGCATCTATATTCGTGAGAGATGTTAGTCCATAGTTTTCTTATCTCTGTCTAGGTTTCCTGTTAGGGTAATTTAATGAGTTAGGAAATATTCTCATTGCTTCTGTCATCTGAAAGGGATTGTAGAGAATTGGTATAATTTTTTCCTTAAATGTTTGGTAGAAATTACTGAACTCCTGGGTGCGGTACTTTATGTTTTGGAAGGTTGTTAATTACTGATTCAACTTCTTTACTAGAAGTAGGTCTGTTCAGGTTGTCTGTTTCTTCTCTGAGTTTTGTTGGCAGATTGTATCTTTGCAAGGAATAGGACCATTTCATCTGGGTTATCAAATTTGTGGTCATAGAGTTGTTCATAATAATCCTTTATTATCCTTTTAATGTCCGTTGGACCTGTAGTGTATCTCCTCTTTCATTTCCATTATTTGTTATTTGTATCCTCTTTTTTCTTAGTTAGCTTGGCTTAAAGATTTTTTTGATCTTTGTTTTAATTTTTAGTGTTCCTTACTGGGTTTTCTGAAGGGTGTACATGCATGTACCGTAACCCAGGAGAACAAAGAAGATGCTGCCATCTCTTTGTTCCTCCATCCCACCCTAGGTACCAATATTAGCAGGGCTGGGAGGTGGGGAGTCCTTCCACCCCTCTCCTGGCTCTCATGTAGACACACAGAAACAGTTTGTGGAATTTCTTCCTGCTGTCTCTTTTATACAAAAGAAATTTATGGCATCTTGATCCTGCATATTGCTTTTGTAGCACAGCATTGTGCCATGACTTGTCCCTTCAGGTTTGTGAGTGTAGGTCTAGCCCCTTCTTGTCGAGAGCCATGTAACCCATGCTGTGCACAGTTTTTGCTATGTGGAGGTAGGCTGTGACTCTTCCTTCTGATGTGGACCCCAGAGGTGTCAGGACATGCATAGTCTTTGAGATGCTAGGCAGGTACAGTAGGAACTGCAGCCTCTGCCTGCTCTGAGCTTTCCAGGAGGCAAGGGGTAACCATCCCATGGGGAACTGAGGGGACTCATGGTTTCCAGTGAGGTGGAGGTTTCTGCCCTTGGTTGGAGTCCAGGTCCCCATCCATTCCGATGTTCAGTGCCTTTATTTGGCTTTATTTGCATTGACACCTCTCACGGATGCATCGGAGAAGTACTGATGTGCTGAGCTTTCTAGTTTGGGATAAATCCTGCCCTTTCTGGCGCCAGGTCTCTCTCACACCTCAGGATTTCTTGGTTTGGAGACCCTGGCGCTCATCTAGGATAGTAGGGGAAGAGCTTTGCAGAGCCTGGGGCAGGTCTGAGGGAGTTCTCCCCTTTTCCTTAGAAGCAGAGGATCAATGACAGTGTGACAAGTGCCAGATAAAGATGGAATGGGGGCTTGGTATGGCCCTCAGCATTATGATAAGCTGTGGCATGTCACACCGTTTCTCAAGTTTGGGCCATCAGAGCCAGCAGCCACTGAGACCTGGCAGGACCGGAGGTCATAGTGGAGACCCTGGCTGATCTGGAAGTGCCTGCACAAGGTCCACACTGCTCCTGCCCTGACTGACGTTATGCTCCGCACTCCTTTGCAGCTTTCTATATGAACCCAGCAGCCAAGGGTACAAGTACTACCGCCAGAAGCTGGAGGAGTTCCGGAAAGCCAGGGTGGGCCCCATGGGCACTCACTCGACACCCAACCTCTGCCTCCAGGGCAGACCCCCTCCTGAGAGCCCCTTAGGGCATCTGCCCCCCACCGCCACCTGCCCTGCCTCATCTGCCCCCTCGCCCACTGTCACCCTGGCTTCAGCTGCCCATGGGAAGCCGGCTACCACAGCCACTGTGAAGAGGAAGCGAAAGAGCCGATGGGGGCCTGAGGAGGACAAGGTGGAGCTCCCACCCGCCGAGCTGGTGCAGAGAGATGTGGACGCCTCCCCTTCACCTCTGTCAGGTGGGCTCTGTCATGAGGTCTGGTGTCTTTCACTGAGCATCATGTTTTCAAGGTTCATTTGTGTTATAGCAGATGTCAGAACTTCCTTACTTACTATGGCTCAGTAGTATTCCAATGGTGGATAGACTATACTTTGTTTATGCTTCATCTGTTGATGGACACTTGAGTTGTTTCCACCTTATGGCAATTGTGACTAGTGCTGCTATGAACATGCGTGTACAAGTATTATTCGGATTCCTGATTTCAGTTCTCTTGTGTGATACCTAGGAATGGATTGCTGGGTCATATGGTGATTCTACATTTAACTTTTTAAGGAACCACCATACTGTTCTCTACATCAGGGGTCCCCAAACCCTGGGCCACAGACAGGTCTGTGTCCTATTAGGAACTGGGCCACACAGCAGGAGGTGAGTGGTGGATGAGCAAGCAAAGCTTCATCTATATTTGCAGCCGCTCCCCAGCACTAGCATCACCACCTCAGCTCTACCTCAGGTCATTAGGTATTAGATTCTCATAGGAGCACTGGTCCCTGATACCAAAAAGTTTGGAGACCACTGCTCTACATCATTTTATGTCCCCTCCAGCATCCTCACATTATAGCCAGCCTAGCAGGTATAAAGTTTGGAATCACATTATAGTTTTAATTTGTGTTTCCCTAATAACTAATAGTGTTGAGCATTTTCCATGCACTCATTGGTCATTTATATAGCTTGTTTGGAGAAATGTCTATTTTAATCCTTTACTCATATTTAAATTGGTTGTCTTTTGTTACTGAGTTGTAGGAATTCTTTATGTATTCTGGATATTATCCCCTGTTCAGATATATTATTTGCAAATATTTTTTCGCATTATATGAGTTGTCTTTTCATCCTCTTGGTGTCATTTCATGCACAAAAGTTTTAAATTTTATGAAGTTCAATTTATTTTTTTCATTTATTGCCTGTGATTTTGGCAATAAATGAAAAAAATAATATGGCTAAGAAACCATAGCCAAATCCAAGGTCATGAAGATTTACTCCTATGGGTTTTTCTAAAAGTTTTATAGTTTTAGCTCTTAAGTTATGTCTTTGACCCATTTTTAGTTAATTTTTATGTATGATATAAGGTAAGGGTCCAACTTCATTCTTTTGCTTAAGGATATCCATTTGTCCCAGCACTATTTGTTGAAGAGACTGTTCTTTCCCCATTAAATGGTCTTGACACTCTTATCAAAAATCAGTTGACCATAGATGTTAAGGTTTATTTCCGGGCCCTATTCTATTACACTGGTTTGTATGTCTATCTTTATGTCAGTACCACACTGTTTTGATCATTGCCTTTGTAGTAAGTTTTGAAATCGGGAGTGTTCGTCTTCCAATTTCGTTCTTTTTCCAGCTTTGGCTATTCGGGGTCCCTTGAATTTTCAGTGGATTTTCAGATTGGCTTTTCTATTTCTGCAAAAAAACACCGTTGGGATTGTGAGAGGGATTGCATTGAATCTGTAGATTGATTTGGATAGTACTGATATGTTATCAATATTTAAATCTTTCAATCTGTGAACACTGGATAGTTTTCCATTTACCTAGGTCTTTAATTGGTTCCAACATGTTTTGTAGTTTTTGTTGTACATGCCTTGCACCTCCTTGTTTAAATGTATTCCTAGGTGGTTTATTCTTTCTGACGCTTTTTAAATGGAATTGTTTTTTTTTTTTTAATTTCCTTTTTGGATTATGTGTTGCTGGTTTATAGAAATATAATTGATTTTTGTGTGTTGATTTATATATCTTTGAATTTTGCTGAATTCATTTATTAGATCTAATAGTCTCTTTATAGAATCTTTAGGGTTTTCTACATGTAAGATCTTATCATTTGCAAATGGTGACAGTTTTACTACTTCTTTTATAATTTTAATGCCTTATTTCTTTTTCTTGCCTAATTGCTCTGGCTAAGACTTGCAGTGCTACGTTGAACAGAAGTGGTGAAAGTAGGCATGCTTACCTTGTTTCTGATCTTAGAGGGAAAGCTTTCAGTCTTTCACCATTGAGTGTGATGTTTGATGTGGTATGTTTTTGTATATGGCCTTTATCATGTTGAAGAAGTATGATTCTGTTCCTAGTTTATTGAGTGTTTTTATCATGAAAGGCTGTTAGATTTTGTTAAATGCTTTTTCTATATCAATTGAAATTATGTGGGAGTTTTTTCTTTCATTCTATTAATGTGGAGTATTACATTGATTGATTTTTGCATGTTGAACCATCCTTGCATTCCTGGGATAAATCCTGCTTGGTTATGGTGAATAATCCTTTTAACATGCTGCTGGATTTAGTTTGCTAATTTTTTTTTTTTTTTTTTTTTGCAGATTTCTGCATCTGTACTCATAAGGAATATTGGTTCGTGGTTTTCTTGTAGTGTTTTTGTCTTTGGTATCAGGGTAATGCTGGCCTCGTGGAATGAGTTGGGAAATATTCTTTAATTTTTTGGAAGAATTTTGGAAGAATTGGCATTAATCTTTTAAAATATTTGATAGAATTCACCAGCGACACCATCTTTGTGGGTTTTTCTTTGTTGGGAGGTTTTTGATTGCTAAATCAGTCTCCTTGATATAAGTCTATTCAGGTTTCCTGTTTCTTCTTGGGTTAGTTTTGGTATTTTGTGCATTTCTAGGAATTTGTTCACTTTGTTTAGAATATCCAGTTTGTTGGCACACACAATACACTCTTTTAATTCTTTTTATTTTTGTAAAGTCATTGGTAATATCCCCACTTATATTTCTAATTTTAGTAATTATTTCTTTTTTATTCTTAGGCAATCTGTCTAAAGATTTGTCTATTTTGTTGATCTTTTCAAAAAACCAACCTTCGGTTTTGTTGATTTTCTCTATTGTATTTCTCTTCCCTATTTCATTATCTACACTCTAATCTTTAATTCCTTCCTTTTGCTAGCCGTGGATTTAGTTTGCTCTCCTTTTTCTAGTTCCTTAAGGTGAACAGTTAGATTATTGATTGAAGACCTTTTTTCATTTTAATGTGAACATTTAAATAGCTATAAATTTTTTTCTTGGCACTGCTTTTGCTACATTCCAGAAGTTTTGGTGTGTTATGCTTTTGTGTTCATTCATCTCTAAATATTTTCTAATTTGTCTTGTGATTTCTTCTTTGACCTATTGGGGTTTTCGGGGTTTTTTTTTTTTTTTTTTTTTTGTATTCTATTGGGGTTTTTGGGGTTTTTTTTTTTTTTTTTTTTTTTGAGTATGCTATTTAATTTCCACATACATGTGAATTTTCCTTTTGTTATTGATTTCTAGTTCCATTGCGATCAGAAAGGATACTTGGTATGATTCCAGTCTTTTAAAATTTATTAAAACTTATTTTGTTGGCTAATATTTGATCTGTCCTGGAGATTATTTCATGTGCACTCGAAAGACAGTGTATTCCGCTGTTGGGTTGCATGTTCTCTATGTGTCTGTTAGGTCCAATGATGTATAGAGTTGTTCAGTCCTCTATATCCTTATTGATCTTCTGTCTTGATGTCCTGTGTATTATTAAAAAGGTATTGAAGTCTCCAATTATTATTGTAGAATATCTTAAATTTTGTCAGTTTTTGCCTCATATATCTTGGGGCTCTGTTGTTAGGTGTATATTTGTTTTATCTTTCTGTATCAAACTTTTTATCAATATATAACATCCTTTGTCTCTCGTAACCTTTTTTGACTTAAAAGTCTATTTTGTCTGATACTAGAATAGCTATCCCAGCTCTCTTGGTTACTGTTAGCATGGAATTTGTTTTTCCATCCTTTCATTTTCATTGTCTTTGTGCCTTTGTATCTAAAGTGAGTCTCTTATAGACAGCATATAGATGGATCATATTATCTCCCTTAAGCTTTAAGATAGTTGGAGTCAGCCTTGTCATAGAAAGCCCAGGAAAATGCACGATGATAAGCACAATTGCCGGCTGGTCTACCTCCAACTTTCCCCTCCTTGACAGCAATTTCAGGGATGGCCAAACCTGCAGGGGGCGGAGGAGAGGTCTGTTGTCTTTACATTCTGCAGGTGATAATGGGTTACTGAAAAAGGCCAGTCTAGTGCTATCTGTCTGACACCCTCCGCCCACCTTATAGCCTGCAAGGAAAGGCAGCTCACCCAGGTCACATGGCTGACCTGCTGGCCCTGCTCTGAGGGTGTTTTCTTGCACTGTGCCTCCCTGGCGCAAAGAGAAAAGCTGCTAATTAAAGGTTCCTAGGATGTTGGGACTCTAGATAGCATCTCCAGCTGGGCTGAGGGTGCTGGGGCCTGGATTGCTGCTGAGAGGGGAGCCCTTGTGGCAGCTGCACAGGAAGGTGCTCAGATATGAGTGCTGCTCTGACAAATGCAAGCCCCGCTCCTGCTAGTGAAGATGACTTCCTCGTGTTCTAGGTCCACATTCAAGTCCCACTGGCCCACACCATCACAGGGGAGCATGGGCAGGCCCCAGTCACTGGTGAAGAGGGCCTGTGGGCACAATACAGGCACATGGCAGGATGCTCAGACCTTGGCTCCCTCACTCTCTTTACAGGACCCCCACATCCTTCAGAGCCCCTGCAGACCTTTGAGGAGGGATTAGGGTGCAGTCCTGTGGTCACAGAGCACCTGCAGGTGGTTCTTGCTAACAAAACCCCCAGCCCTGAGGAGCTGGAGAACTCAGTTCTCTCCACCCTCCCAGAGGGGCCTCTGTACCCCCTCTAGTTGGCTTTTCCCCCAGGAAGCCACCGCCTGAGGGGTGGTCATTTCCACCGCCCAGATGGATGTCATAGCACCTTCACATGGATCAGTGCTGCCAGCTTTAGCCGAGCTCCAAAGCTGATGCCAAATTAAATGTCAGTTGCTGTGAGGACAGTCAGCTGTCTTCCTAGAAGGAACTAACAGAGCCACACAGCTGAGTCTTATGCAAGACTTCAAACCTTGTGTATCTACATTGGGTATCTGTCTGCCACAGAGCTTCCAAGAGCCAGTGTGTGTGAGTGTGCGTGTGCTCACACACATGCTCGTCTCTGCTCTCATGTCTTGGGCTCTGCAGAATCTTTACCATGTCACCCATTAGCCATGTGACCTTGAGTGAGACCCTTGACCTCTGAGTTCTGGTGTCAGCGTCTGCAACATGGGGATGTAGGACCCGCCCTGCCTGGAGAGGGCACGTGCGGATGAAACTGGGTGCACGTGATGGTGCAAGGCATGACTACTGTGGTCGTTACAGGACATAGGATACTAACCAACCTGACATGAGGGCCCTGCTGTGTGCTCCACGTGCCTCAGGTGTCATCAACAAATGGACTTGGCACCACATACAGGACCAGGGCCAGGCCCATGTGTCTGTCTCTGAATGGCCTATATCTTGTTTCCAGTTCAGGACCTCAAGGGGCTCGGCTATGAGAAGGGGAAGCCCGTGGGTTTAGTGGGTGTCACAGAGCTGTCGGATGCCCAGAAGAAGCAGCTGAAGGAACAGCAAGAGGTAAGGCCAGGGGGCGAGGCAGGCTCCACAGCAGCTGGCGGTGGACTCCCCTACTCCTCCTCACGTTGCAGTAGTCACAGAGTCAGCAGAGAAGTTCCTGGGCAGGCAGATCCCCCATCAATGGCATGCCAACACCTGAGGGCACCCCCACCAGCTTGTAGCTGGGCCCAGAACTCAGGCCTCATCACGCTGGCCTGTCATCCCTCAATGCCAGGTGCTCCATAGCTACTACACATGGTGCCTGTAGACTGTTCCCACTCGATAGTTTCCACTTGTTTTTTTTTCTAGTTTCCTCCAGCATCCAGTCCAGAATGGGCCTGGCTAGCACTGGGCACCCTGAATTATGTGAGGGCCCCTCAGCTGATATTGGGCAGCGTTGGGGTGAGGGCCAGCTTAGCTTCTCTGCTGCTTCCTTGAGGTTCCAGAGGCACTGGCCCATCAGTCCTTGGGGTCGGCTCACCCCAGCCACCTCCTCCAGTGTAGCTACCCTGTCACATCACCCTCGACCTTCCCAGAGGTCAGGAGCCTGCATTGTCCTCATTCAGTCCATGGCAGTGGTGCTCAACTCTGTGCAAGGAAGAGAGGGGCCTCCTTTTTCAGCACAGGGACTCAGGGAATCAGTGCAAGTCCCAGCATAGGACTCAGTGTCTTGTTGAGCACTTGCTCTAAGCCCTGCTCACAGGCCTGCCTCAAGGAAGGAGCCCCAAATGTGCACAGAGGAGGCAGGCGCTCCTGCCATGCATATGTGGTACAGGCCCTGCTCACAGTGTGTGCCACCTCCAGATGCAGCAGATGTATGACATGATCATGCAGCACAAGCGCGCGATGCAGGACATGCAGCTGCTATGGGAGAAGGCTCTGCAGCAGCACCAGCATGGCTATGACAGTGATGAGGAGGTGGATAGTGAGCTGGGCACCTGGGAGCACCAGCTGCGGCGCATGGAGATGGATAAGACTCGGGGTGCGCTGAGGAGCCAAGCCGGGGGGCGGGGAGGAGTGTCTGGGTGGGGCCTTGCCTTCAGAGCACTGTGGTGCAGGAAGCCCTACTCACCTGCTGGCCTTAAGGCCTTGGGCACAAGACTTGGCCTTTTGTGCCTCAGTTTCCTTAGTAGTAAAAGGAGTGGTGCAGGGCTGCCTATGGGAGTAAGGTTTGAGTCGGGGTCTCCACCAGCTGCCTCCCTCCCCTAAGGCTGTTCCCCCTTCCCTCCTCTCACCTTTCCCATCTGTCTGGGCAGAGTGGGCTGAGCAGCTAACGAAGATGGGCCGGGGCAAGCATTTCATCGGAGACTTCCTACCGCCAGATGAGCTAGAGAAGTTCATGGAGACCTTCAAGGCTCTGAAGGTAAGTGGGGCATCCCCAAGCATCAGCCCTGCTTGTGGGCCTGTCTAGCAGGCAGCCTCTTCATACATAGGAGACAGGCCCTCTTCTGAGGGAAGCATCTGTTGGTGGCAGACACTGTCCTTGTTGGGAATTTGCAAATAACAACTCAGCTGCCCACTTTAGAAATATTTCCCCAGGAAATTCTGCTTCCATTGGAGCCAATTAAGGTGCCTTGTGCAGGCAAAGCGTTTCTCAGGCAGAAGCCCACACGGACTGGGCTCCTCAGAACGAGAGCTTGGCATTCTTCCTGTGCACAAGGAGAGACAGCTGATGTGCACAAAGCCTCATCACCTCGTTGACCATGGCTTCTTTTTTGCACTCTGTGTAACAGATCACTCCCAAAACAGCCTTTTCTTTGCTGGTGAACATTAATCTTGCCATTGTAGGGGAGGCCCGAGTGACCATCACTTTGCCTTTGACTTGGCTGCCCGGGAGCATTAAGTGTGGCCCTGGGGACACTGAGGAGGCGGAGCTTGGTCTGACCTGGCGGGGGAGGCAGACAGACAAGTGGTCCCAGCCAGTGGCCAATGAGGCTGGGGGGATGTTTTTTGGTCCCTGGGGGATGATACCCTCTTGGCCCTGCAGGAGGGCCGTGAGCCTGACTACTCTGAGTACAAGGAGTTCAAGCTGACTGTGGAGAACATCGGCTACCAGATGCTGATGAAGATGGGTTGGAAAGAGGGCGACGGACTAGGCTCGGAGGGCCAGGGCATCAAAAACCCAGTCAACAAGTGAGTGTAGCCCCCAATTCGGGGTGGATATGGGGGATCCCAAACAGATGCAGGCCCAGGGCCTGGGTCTAGTCCTATCCCTAGTTGGAATCGGGGTCCTGGCTGTGAACTCTGGTGACTAGGCCAACTCAGTCTCTTCCCTCTTCCCACCGTGCTGGCCATGTCCTGCATAGATATTCCTCAGCCCAGCACAGCCTGCATGACCCCCACAGCCCCATGTAGAGCTGCTGCTGCTGCTGAGCCCAAGCCAGTGGGCGAGGCCTCCCTGCCCCAGCTCAGGCCCCACACACCCTCTCGTGCTGGCACCAGCCTGCTCCCCTGCTCACATTCCCTGTCATCCCCTGCAGAGGCACCACCACAGTGGATGGCGCTGGCTTTGGCATTGACCGGCGCGACG